GAGGTAGAAGATGATGAACAGTTCTGGAATCAAGACGCCCTTAAAGAGGTTAGTTTTTTTTGCTGTTATTTTGCACCCATTGATCAATTGTGATATCCGTGATTACAGTTGTTATACTGGCTGGGTTGCTAGGCCACTTGGATGACTTCTGTTTTGTGTCTACCAGGAGGATATCGATCAAGAATATGAAGAAGAGGCTGAAGTAGCTGATGTTTTCGACAGTGATTTCGATGAAGATGTAAGCTCCCATTTTTTTTCTTACCTAGCCTTGACTGCCGCTGTGCTGAATGTCTACATTGGTAATTTTATAATGTTTGGTGTCTTCAATTTCATCCATTTTTTGTTTAGGAGCCCGAGCCGGATGAAGAACGGGAGAATGAACCAGATGAAAGGTACCGCGAGTCATTCTAGTCAGATGGATGGAACATACCCAAATTTTATTCCGGGCGTGCTGAAGAATTTACTTTTATTCTAGGCATCGGGCAAAAAAGAGGTTGATATTTCCCGGAAAATCTTTGGGAACGAAGAAAAAGAAAAAGAAACCACTCTCTATGTTAGAGACAACATCTGGAGACAAAAAAGATCCTGAGCCATCCACACCTTCTGAGCATCATGATGCATCTGATGATGTTGAGGAGGAGAGAATGATTAGAAAATCAACAAGAACTTCTGTCATTGTAAGACAAGCGGAAAGGGATGCAATACGTGCAGCGTTGCAAGCAACAATGAAGGTTGGATGATTTTTTATGAAGGATTTGTTGTTTTTTAATCATTATTATCTCCTTCAAACAATGGACTAACTAATGTTTTAGCTTTGGGCAAATAATGGACTAAATTGAAACGACACCTAAACTTCTCTTGCTTACTTTTCTATGAAGTTTTGAGCCGTAAATGAAGTAATGCTTCAAGGGTCTCGGAAGCAACCTCTTTGTTTTCTATAGGGGTAATGTTGCGTACATCTTGACCCCAGATCCCAATGGAGTTGGAATTATATTGGGTTTGTTGTTGTTGTTATTGTATTAAATGAGAAATACAAAATTTAATCTAGAAGACTAGATATTGGTTAACCATTTGGATTTAGCAGGATATTAAGTAATTTTTTAAGTATAAACCAGCTTCTATCACTATTCTTAATGGACTATTCTTGGAGTTTATCCTTGATGATTCTTAAACAGCCAATAAAAAGGAAAAAAGAAGGCGAAGAGAAAAAAATGAGTCAAGAAGAGATGCTCCTGGAGGCAGCACAGACAGGTTATTATGATGCTTTGAACTTTTCATTCATTAGTTTTTTTGAATCTGTGGCCTGTTACATGGATTTTAAATCTCTCTTTCAGAGATAATGAATCTAAGGAATTTGGAAAAGGTTTTAGCAAGGGAAGAAGAAGTGAAGAAAAGAGCCATTGTTCATAAAGCAGTCTATAGTGGCCCTCAGATAAGATATCTTTCAAAAGATGGTAAGTCTTATGCAGGACAGTATCCGTAAATATTCAGCCAAGGGTGTCTTTTTTTCAATCGCTGTGCTACTGTTCCAAGATGTTCACACTCCACATTTATTTAGATATTTGTGATAATTCAATTTTTTTCATTTAAGATTTTGCTTTTGAACTAAAAAATTTGTGCAGGGTGTTCATACCTAGAATTTAACAATGGGGCATCATTTGAGTCGGAGATATCAACCATATCTCTTCCATGTAAGTAAGGTGTTTCTAAATTTCAAAGTTGGTCTATCATCTTCATGATGTAATAATTGGAGCCATCTAAATCACAAGACGGCTTTACGTGCAACACCACAAGTATGTTGTAAAATAGTTAATTTTGTTTATTTGTAAATACGTAGTACAATGGATCTAAGATGTGGGGTAGGTTGATAACTGCATATGCTGATAACAGTTCACCTCATAATTCTAACAAGCTTTCCCCTGTTCAGCATCAGGTTTGTTTTTGCTTTTGTGTTAGGAAAGCTTTGTTTAATGCCAACTTATACTAGTGGAAGCAACTTTGTGACTTTAGGTAGCATCTCTCTCTTTCCCTCTACTATTGACAAATTTTCATCTTTACAGACCCAGAGAAGGCAGTGTGTGCAGTGACTGGGCTTCCTGCAAAGTAAGATCCCCCCCCCCCCACCACACCACACACGCACAAAATAAAAAATTGGCTAATGAAGTATACAATGTGACGATCAATTAAGTAACCCTTGACTTGTGAGGACTACCTGTGGGTTGAGACACTTCATTTTTAAAAATCTAAAATTGATAAAACCACATAACTGAAATCAAATATGAACTTCTATTAGCCATTGTTTGGTTTGCGGGGAAGTGAGATATGAGGAGTTTGGATAGTTTATAGCTTCTCCGCTTCCCTTTCATTCCCCCCATCCAAACAATGACTTAAAGTATGGGTGGAGTACTTGCCCTTCTTTCCAACTACAAACTGCCTTTAGTTTCTCTTATTTCAAGCGATCATGTGATTGTATATCACCCAACAGAATGTGTCTGAGAAACACCTAGTTTGTAGACATTTTTTTCTAAGTGCCTCAGTCTGATTCTCACCATTCAGGTATCGCGACCCAAAGACTGGCCTCTCTTATGCAACTAAAGAGGCATTCAAGATCATCCGTGAACGGTACAGATCGTCTTACCTGCATATAGTATTTGATTTGAAGAATTTGGAAGCTTAATGCCATTTTTTCCTTTTATTTGGGATTTTTTTATTTCTGGCCTTTTGTCCCACTGGGTAACCAATTTTGATTTTTGATATTACAGGCATTCGATGGATAAAGCCAACAGTATTGTAGGGAAACAAGGCGCCGATCTGCTACTGTCCAATGCTTTATCTGGACCAGGATTTTCTGAAAAACGGAAGAGATCATCGAAGGCCCCACAGTCTAGAGAAATATCCCGTTCTCGAATTCTTGCAAGGTTTCGTAGGATGCCCGCAATTGACATCGAGGACTCGGATTAGCTAAAGATTACTTGTTTTATTCCGGGTATGCTCATCATGCTTTCCCCAACTTTGGGATCTGGTAGGTCAGTATTTTCTTGAAAATGATGAAAGGGCAAATCTATGTTTACATGGATAAGTATATTCCGATACGAGTGTGATCGCAATCAGTGTTCTAAAAAGCAGTAGGTGGCAGAACATGTATTGACAGTCCGACAGAGGCAAGATTGAGTTATCGGGGACACTGCTGCATTCGCCTCGGGGGAGGGGGGGGGGGCAAGTGCCCTACTGTCCCCCCTGCCTCCATCATGATATATTAGTAGATATTTATTGATGCCCCTTTTCATGATCATCTAGACTAGCTTCCCTGTGTAATCTTCTACTCTAGTCCAAAATACAAAAGTTTTGCACTATACTGTAGCAGAAAGTGGACTCCCATGGATCATTTAAAAAGTAGAGGATCAGTTACTTTTTCTTTCACATCCTCTATAAATACATGATTTCTATTCCGCAGCTATAACGCAGAGCAAATATGGAGGAGATGCAAAAAAGCTGATATGGTCGAAACACGTAAAAAAAGAGACAATCTAAAACACTGTATACAGTCGTCTAAGCACTTTGAGGTTGAGGTTGTGAATATATTGAGGGGTAAAAGTAAAATAATGTAATTTTCGCAGTAATATTTTCCTTTAGGACACACTGTAAAGTGTCTGAAACTCAGAATGTGACCTTCACATTACGAAATGTGACACTATTCTCAAAATAAATTACAATTGGAGATTAATGATCACTTAATTCTGAGAGTAAATGGATTGATTTGAACATTTATACTCATATAAAGTTTTGTAAGGTTTCTTACAAAACTTAACTATTAGAGCATTCATGGGATTAGTTTCAATGTGGGCAGAAATCTCACAAAACTTGATTATTTTTTTACTCAACATGTTTACTTTAAAATTAGTTTCTCATTCACTCGTTAATAAGTTTTGATGTATAATATATTAACATGTCCCCGTCACTTAAGAAAACAGACATAATCAATTAACGATCAGAATCCTTAATGTACTTCATTGATAATTAAGTCCAAAAATCACTGTTTCAATACCTATTTAACCCAAAATTTTCAACAACGAAGCCCTAAAATGTGTATTTAGGAGTCATTGCAATATATTTCAACTTTATTTTTAATTTTCTTCCTACCTAGTATTTTTTTAAATTTCTACCTCCAGTTGATGCTTCAAATATTGTTCCATACTCCCTTTGTCTCAATTGGAAGTTTACACTTTGCACCACGGTTTATAAAATTATACTCCAGGTATATTAAAATTTACATAAATATATCTACAAAATAAAGGCGATGTGGTTATACCATTTTATCAAATGATAGATGAAACTATATAAATAAAAATGAAATAGTTTGATCACATAAACAATACAAAGTACGGAGTAATTGTAAAGAATAGGACGGGTGAGTATATATTTCAAGTCCTGGGAAATATATAAACTCAAAAGCAAATGAGAAGGGATTACAAACAAACACGTCTCTATATAGACAACATTTTTACAAACAAATTCTCTAGTTTGTGACATGAAACTCAGTACAACCAGACAAGGTCTTGTTACGCATACAACAATTTTTATTTAAGATTCTTTTATAATACATGAAATTCAGCAACACAATTATGAGTACAATAAGAATTCATTCATTCAAGTATTGTATGTATACCTGTTGGGTTTTGCATTATTTCTATGTTTTCATCTCCCTGGTGTAACTTGCATCTATAGAAATGCTCTTTTGAATCTTTCGCGAATAATTTATGAACTGCAAGCTTGACTGACCTGGTACGGTCAATCACATCTGTGGCCGTGTCTGGACAACAAAGATTTTCCCATCTTTCACGACGCCTTCAATGTCTTGAGGTGATCCGTAAAGCTCTTCAATCACACTTCCGGCACGGGCAATGTTAGAGAGGATTGAATGGCGGAAATTGTTGTCGGTTATTAATGGATCAGATGAGTAGTCGATTACAACTTTCTCTTCTTCATCCATTGGCACACTATAGAAAGCGAATTCGCACGTGATGATGGTAAAAATTATAAATTCATTTAGGAAAAAAAGGAATAGAAGAATAAACAGAAGATGTATGAATGAATGTGTATTTGAGCTTCACCTATCATAAAGACCAGCACCGGCATAGCCTTCTAGATCTTCACCATTGGAGTCGGAGCGAAAGATGATAGATTGTCTGATGAAAAGGCCTATGGGCTTGCTTGGGTAACCTAGAATCTGAAAATGTTGCATTCATAATGTAAGATTAAGTGCCCGTTTGGAAACAGCCTCAATGTTTAGTCTAAGCATTTTGAAAAGGTTATCTAATTTTTCAAAGTTAATCTGCACTATTAAAAAATAATCCAAAATGCTAAAATATTCTTCCCAAATGAGGCCTAACTGTTCCTATTATTGATTAAGACAAACCTCCCCCTCTATTCACCATGATTTTAGGTGAAATAAATAATATAGTGGGAGGTACATCCTACTATTTCATTTATTTCCCCCATTAGGCTGAGCCCTTGTTTGGTTGGGGATTTCAAAGAGAAGGGAAAGGGATGAGAGGGGCTTTTTTAAATAGTCTGGAGTAATACATTCTTACATTTAGATGGTTGGAAAGAATGTGAATATGAAAATTATACTCCCTGTCTTTGAAAGAATCTGACAGTTTGGCTTCATGGAAATTAAGAGAGGTGTTAAAAAGATGGGGAAAAGTAAAACTATGTGTAGTTGAAATTTATTTGAAAGAGAGAGAATGAATGATACCACAAATTTGTTTCTTAAAAAAGAAAATGGAGAAGTGTAAGGTTGATTTTTAGATATTTCAAAAAGAAAGTGTAAAGTTGTTTCGGGAGTATAGAGATACATGATCTAACTAAGCGCAGTCATTTTCATTCTAAGGCTAACAAAGAGATAAACAGATAGTAAAATAAACACCAATCCCCCTCTCTCTCGTAGAATTTCTCAATTCCGTTAGAGTTTGTTAGGTTTTGTTTTTTTGGTTGGGGGGGGGGGGGGGNTTAAAAAAATTGGAAGGGAGACTAAATGGAGAGACCAAACAAGACGTAGAGTAATGAAATGAATGGATGGGAAATTAAATGAAGAAGATTGACTTTTATTATAAATAGGATTTTTTTTGTTGTTGTTACTACTTGCCAGCGTGTAGATGCTTCAAACATGACTCTTATTTGGAAAGGTAGTATTGAAAGTAGAACACAAGAACAAGCTACTCACCTGAGGAGAGTTCAGATTGTTCTTCTTGCTGACAAAACTCAAAGCACGGCCCGGATATGCCCCAACTAGTGTTTCTCCGAGGCCCTTTACAACCTGATCACAAACGAAGGCAAAATATAATGAGCATGCATAAAGTCTCCCATGGTTTCTTCCAAACATTTTATTACTCTTATGTTGAAAGCAAATACAGATTCCTAATTTACATTTCTCATAGAAGGGATCTGAAATCCTCATTGCATTGCAAAAAAATTTTTTATAAAGAATTGGGTAATTGACAATCAACTGTAGGTACAAAACTATACATCATTTTTCACATGCTTGACTGATTTCACCCGGTTAAAAAATACAGCCTTGACATAGTAGCATTAAAAGAGAGTTCCTATAGCATCACTCACCTCAGCATATATCTCGGACACATCCCCTGATGATGGATTAGTGGTATGAATAACAAACGCATAGTCAGCATTGATTATTTCTTGAACAAGGACGGCCATGCAAAGAGAATCATGGTCTAGTTTGACCTTCCTTGTGCTGAAATATGCTCTCTCGTTCCACTTTGAGGCCCACACCTGGTCCAGGCGAGAAATGATTGTGCATATTACATTATCAATTAGTGGTCCATTAGTTGCCATATAGAATATGGCATGGGGACAGATACTTGTTGATCACCAGTTACATAGGATTGGGGGATTAATACTTCAGTTATGCTATAGCAGAAAGGTATGCAATTTACCTTTTTTATTGCTGTCCATGCTTGTTCCCAACGTTCTGGACCTTCATCACCAGGCCATGGCATGCCAGAATTTTGCATATTGTCTTTCAGCTCATTGATCTGAAATTTAAATTTGGCACATATCAGATAGAAAGCTAACCCCATACATTGATGAACAAGAAAGCATCTGGATCCTAATACCCAGATAGATGGAAAAGAAATGTAGTATGTACATGCAAGCCTTCCAACCTTTACACTTAACTAGATCATCTTAAGTATGATTTCATAATCTTTTCCGAAAGGCAATAGCTTGTGTACATGAACTATAATAGGAGGCAAAGCTTATCCAGATATAGTCAATGTGTGAAAAACTAAGAAAATGTTTTTTAAATATACCAGCTGAGGTGGCGCTGAAAGTTCTAGAACTGCGTTTCGGATATCGAGAAGGACACTGAAATCTCCTTCAGATAACTTTTTCTTCAGAGCTTGTAACTTTGCTTCCACTCCCTGCAGAGTATGTGAACATTCCTTAAAAAGCCAGTACATATGCTTTTCCAATTAGATGTGATCTATATTGTCAATCTATTTTTCATTTGTAATTATAACTGCTATAAAGCTATAATAACAAGAAACTCAATAACATAAAACACAAGCATTTTCATCTAAAATAAAAAGTCAATAATTCAAATAAGGAGTAATAATAGTAATATATTATTTCCTTAAATTAACTATATGCTAGTAGATTTTCAAATATTAAAATGTAATTCATGCACTCCAAAATATATTTCAAATAATAAAATACTCCCTCTGTCCACAAATAAATTTCTCGTTCACTATTCACAGGGTCAAACTTTATTCACTTTCTTGGTCTATTTTCGTCACCCATTTAATAAAATAATATAGTCATGTCACCTCTAGTTTTGTAGATCTTTTGATAGAGTTTTTTAATATGTAATTTTTATTTTTAAATTTTACACCATTTTTCATATAAAATGATTTGAAAATAACTTCAATCAAACATCGTAATGCGCAACGGGAAGTTTATTTGTGGACGGAGGGAGTATATTTTTAAATGATAAAGACAAACATGATTCTCCATGAATAAAAAGCATGCACTCCAAAAGAAAGGAACATATATACAAACATTTAACAAATAGATTTGAATGACGGTTTATCAAATTTTTCAGTTGATATATATGTTAGTTCTTTTCCCAAATTTGTGTGTCACTAGATCTGTGTAGAGATTATATACATATAACTTTTACGTCAAAATACTCACCTATTTTATCTTTTCATGTATATTTCAAGTTTAACTCACTTCAGGGAAATTAATCACATATAGTATATACTCCCTCCGTTCCACAAAACCCTTCTTCTTTCGATTTTTTTGCTTTCCACAAAACACTTCCACTTTCCATTAGAAAACCACTTTTACCTCTACTTTTTCATACCCTACCTATCACATCATATTTTTTCACTAATAACCAAACTATCACATCTTACTTTTTCCCATCACATCAGGGGCAAAATTGGAAAGTCAACCAAAATTTCACTTTCCTTATTTTTCCCCAAAGTCAAAACCGGAAGGGTTTTGTGGAACAGAGGGAGTATTTTATTATGTAAAATAGGTTCTCGATCCCCCTACAGGCTTACATACACTTTGGTATTCTCTTATCAAAGTGAGACATGAGTAGTAGATTTCGTACCACATAGGCATATCTGACTTAAATGATTCTCACTGACAATTATAATCTTATACTGTATAATTCTCATATCATTTATAAGACAAGAACTGAAGTGAACAAATCTATTGTATTGGAACTGAATTAAACATTTTAGCATTAGTACATGAGCTGGTACAGCACTTACATCAGAATCTGGATATGGATGTAACATAAATAGAGTGAACAGAACCTGATTAATATCGTCAGAAAGAACTTTCTCAAAAACTCCAAATGGGAGGGCAACTGAAGTGGGGATGCCAATCCAAGATGGGACTTTTCCTTGAAGATTTGCAATGTTACGAGATTTAGCTCCAACCTAGGCATATTAAAGATTGTGTTTATTATTAGCTAAACAAATTAGAATGTCTATGATATGGTATATACATGCAAAAAATAATACAGATGAGAAGATACGTCAAAGAAAAGAGCTTTATGTAAATTATTCCCTCTGTCAAAAAATGTGCCACATTTCCTTTTTGGTGTGTCCCAAAATAAGATTCCACTTTTTTTAAGGAAAAAATTATGAGATTATAAATCTTCTCAATTTCATCTTTTTTGAAACTGTACCGGATCAAATGTGGAGCCTTATTCTAGAATAAAGTATCGGATTAGAGAGCAAATGCAAGCCTCACCAATTCACTAGTGAATTCCTCAGAAGTTATTGCATATCTACCAGCAAAATGTTTTTTTATCAATGTTAAAGATTGTGAAGGGCCAATCTCCAGCAAGTCAGCTGAACTCTGGAGTTCAACTTCTTTCTCCTCACTGTGGTTCCATGGAAGAACAAAAAAAGAAAGTTTTATTACTACATCTACAACAAAAGAAAGCCTTATTCTCACATCTACAACTTAGAATAATATAAGTTTACCTGTAGATTATATCAGCAGATGTAGGTTTTAATCTCAAGACCTTTCCTTCTTTTGCTTGAAGATCAGCCAGAACACTGGGATCAAAGCAAGTTGCAAAACATACCTGCCAAAGGGGAATTTCCATATGTATCATACATCAAATGATTGATATCTTGATGTTTTAGACTGTACCCGCTGTTGTGACTTGTAAGGAATACTACCTTGCTGTTCCTCGCTCGAACAGAAACATGGGAAAGAACATCCGGCATGTCTGGTGTCAGCACAGCAACTGTGCCATCAGGAATTTCCTCCTCACCTTTAACGGATTTTGCCACCAAAATAGTTGGCTTTTCATAAATTATGTTTTGAACAGAGAGCAGTTTGTCTACAACAACAACGTATCCAACAGCCTCAACTGGGCTGATAATCTGCCAACTGCAGAAACACAAAATTATTGCATTGAGTTTACCCAAAAAAATGATTGCATTGAAAATGTTTCAATCTAGCTGAACAATCTTACGAACTTTCAACAGCTGTCTTAAAACATCAGAAAATCAGTCTTAGACATCAACAGAGCACACACTTGATACTATAATGCATAAAACAGATTTTAAAAGATCAGATGATACAAATGTTGAATTAACCATTAAATGGGTTTTTCACTGTGCACTTATTTAGCTAATGTTCACAATGCCATTACGGGTAACCTAAGGACGCATCACACATTATTGAACTCAAAATTGCTTAAAAGTTCAAAAAGATACATTAGCAATGTCATTTAACCTTCCCAAATGAGCAGTTTTGCGAAGAACGGGGTCGAGTCGATTAAGAAGTGATGATAAGGAAGCTGCTGATCCAGCACGTATAATTTCTTCAGTGAATATGTTCACCTGCATTAAAGAAGCATAAAGGTAATGATTTGGAAACCTTTTTTTACACCAAGCGGAAGTACTAGGTTGTCTTAGTAACATACAGCCCACGGATCCACCCCAAGTTTTGATCCAAGGTACTCTGCAGATGGCTGCAATAGATGATGATACCACTCTGCTTTGTTTGCAAGAGCAAGTCGGGTTCGGTCAAGGACAGATTTTGCAAATAAAGCCCAGCTATTGTCACCACTCTTTGACATGCTCAGTGCTCGATTCCATCCCTTCAATTAAATAAAGACACTCAAGGTTAGTGCAGGTTGATAAGCTAAATGTGAACACTCGAAAATTATTGAGGTCATACTTTAATATATAAATCGCTAATAGGATTACTGGGAAAGCTTATTATGCATACTGCACTATGAATGTTAGTAATATGCAATTACCTTTAGACAGTACACAAGATCTTCATTACCATTGACAGACAGTGCAAGATTCTCCAGAACCAGGGAGATGAAGTAGATAATTTTCTGTAATGAATGAACAGGATGATGAAAGCTATGTTAAACTTTGGATATCCTCAAAACTATTGAGATGGTGATAATCCTAATTTCCTAATTACCAAAATATCTTGAGGATAACAAAACAAAATGTACCTCAGGGCTAGCATTATTCAGGTTCTCATACCCCCTCTCTACAGCTGTCCTAACAGTAGAATCAAGAGCAATATCCAGAAACAAAAGATCCTTCAGACGGTTGTTAGGTCGGGAAAGTAATGGTCTAAGTTCCTCCCGGGCCTCTAGCAAACCCTGGATATACACAATTTGTATATAAAAAAAGATACATAGCTTCCGAATGCCAAGGCAGAATAAGGCTATGTGTGTCATTGTGTGTGTGTGTGTGAGGGGGTGGGGGGCGTCAAACCTCAAGAAGAGCTTCCACATTTTTATCTTCGACGTGCTCCAAGACGAATTGAAGCAACTCCTGTTAAACAAGATAAACAAAAAATAAAAATAAAAAGCTTGTAAGAAACCCATTAATTATAAATGGAAAGAATTCTCAAGCAAATGTCAGCAGTAGCTGGTAAGAGTACCGGAAATCCCGAGGGCAAGCCTGCTACAGGATTTACCTGCACCCCAACCATGAAGCCTTCACCCTGAGGAAAATCAGGATCTAGATTGGAGAAGCGGATTATGGTAAAATATCAAATCCTGAAGCAATTTTAAAAATAAGACATTTACCTCGGCCTTGTATCCCATACAATTTGCAATGGCAGATTCAAGATCAGCACCTGAATGGACAGCCTGTGTAAAACTTAAGGTTAATCTAGTTTCCTAAAGTCTGTAATAAAGAAAAATGATAACAATGTAAAAGCCATTTGTCACAACAGAAAGAAAATCGAGAATAATTCCCCAAGGTCAGCAAATATCAAGGGATATAAGAAAGGGAGTTTTTGTATCTTAGAAACATTTATTTTACATCACACTTGATTCATCTAATAAAAAGTTATACCATGATATTCGCTTCAAATTGTGTGACGATGGTTCATTTCTATCCATGGTTATAGGTAAACATTCAGCTTAAGCAGGAGAAGATGAGCAAAACAAAATGAATTAATGTTTCCTTAGTACTTATTTAAATCATGTTAATACTTAATACTATAATGCACCAAGAAAAATCCATTCCGGAGAGGGCTAAGAGCATAGACACATAATGAAATGTTGATGCAAATGAATCAGTGAGAATATAAGAGCCTGGTTGAAGGGATTTGGTACTAACCTTCAATGTTCTCATATAGTTCCCTAGATCTCGTAAAAGGCCATCTCTTTGATCTCTTCTGAAGTTTGGCTCAGAATGGATAGCACGGTCATAACTTAAAAGCCTCTCTTTTGTGATACCATTTGAATTCAGGGTTTGCCAGTAAACACCAATATCAAAGTCACTCTTGATATAGTCTATCAGTGCCTGCAAGGAGAAAATCATCAGAATTGATAACAAAAGGCAACTATAAAATGTATTACTCCCTTCGTCCCAAAATTAACTCCCCACTTTCATTTTTTGGCTGTCCCAAAATTAACTTTTTCTTTTTTGGCATCCACCTTTTACTTCTTTTAAATAAAAACACACTGTTACCCTCAACAACCTATGTATTTAATACCTTTCACTTCACTTATACCAAACCCATAAAACCAGGAGAGGATATTTATATAATTTTCTTTTCACTCTTAACCTACTTGCCATTTTCACATGGGAAGATAATTCTTTGACAAATGGAGTAGCATTTTAATTTTAATACCTGACAGATCACAACATCATCAGGACTAGTGTTGTTATGCAGTTTCTGATGCCATTCCTCCATCATTCCACCTTTGCAGTCATTTTTTCGCTGCATTAGAAAGTTGGGAACATTGTTTACAGTAGATAGGAACCAAACAAGAAAGACAAAAAGTCGACAAAATCATTGTACCTGGATAACCAGTATTTCATCACGTATTCGCTGCCCCACATCTCCTTCACCTCCACGTCCTACAGTTGACATGATCATTCGCAGCAATTCACGGTACTGCGGATGATTTATGTAAACATTCTGCAGTAAATCTGTCAGCCTGTCTTGAGCTTTGCTGATCTCACTACAACAAATTGAACAGTAAATGAGGTCAAACATAAGAATCTTACATAAGGAAAAGGTTTTTGCTTCATGCAACTAGATGAACAGCAAACACAATGAAATATTTTCAACCAATACAGATCCAAAAAGAACAATCACTCATGGATCATACCGCGGCTTGACATTGTAGTTTTTATTCCAGATAAGCTGCCTGGTAGCCATGAAACGCATCCAAACAAGAATTCCTGCAAAAACCAGCTCACCGGCATTTGTGGCTTCTTCTATCAAGTCAGCTGCAATATTAAACCTAAAAGAGAAAATGGCAATACCTAGAAGATCAGTTTTTTGAGAAGTATATCAACATAAATCGACCAAGTAATTACAAAATTACATATGTATAAGATGAACTACTAAGAAGAAGACATCTGCCACAATAATTTCATCTTCATTCAAAATTCCATTATTCACAAAGCATTGCCACCTAAGTTATAACTATAAAGGTCAGTGACATGAAATTTATAGTATCATTAAATAGTCTAGAATTGGCTAACACTGTAAGTTCATGAAAATACAGTATATGATGCCCTTCCTAACGAACCCTTCAAAAGAAGGAATGATGAGCAGAAATTCCAAAATTATCATCATAATATCATAGAATGCTTCTACATGCATTGAGGGCATTGTTCATAGGTTGCAGACCGGAGCGAACTGGACTAGACTGAATTCGTAAAAATAGAGGACCAAACACCGGACATAAAAATCTTCAGTCATGGATCAGATCAGTGTTTCGATGTCTCCAACAAAGCCAAAGATCGCTTTGGAGTATGATGGAGGGTTCTTTTAATGGTCTGTGCTTTTTTAATAGTGAAGTGCGTGAAGTTAGTTGATGCAACTTTCGACACTCGTCATGGGTCATATGAAAACAGTCGCTCTATGTTTTAAACATAGAGGTCAGACTGCGTACCAGCCCGCAATGGCCGGGAGCCTTTGAGGGACTAAGGTAATGTTGTTCTATGGATCAAATTGGACTGGAAAAATTGATACCAAACCAGAAAAACAGATTTCATATACTCCCTCTGCTCGGATTTAGATTTCCACTTTCTAAAAAACTCTCATTTCTAAGAAATGGATTTAAAATGTCAAATAAGCCCTTCAAATAAATTCTTTCACTCATTCATGTCAACAATGTCCATACCCTATCTCTAGGATATTGTAGATAATTCATCATAATTTCTTTACTGAATATAGAAAGTGGACAATTAATCATAAGGTTTGCATACACACACCATCCCCAGATCCTACTGTTATGAGATTTTATTGTGTTTGTTGTTGAATATGGAAAGTGGACAATTAATTCCAGAAAAACAATAACAAGAAAGTGTACAACTAAACCCAAACAGAGGGAGCACTTGATTTGTGGGGAACTAATTTCTCATGTTATAAAGCGGCTCACCCTAACAATCTGCCACCACAGACAAAGAAACCTAGAACAGACTGAAATCATATGCAAAAGTGAAAATTTAGGAACACCTATATTTATGTTTCTTTTACCATATTGTCAAATAACTAGTGAAATTAAACAGAAATTCAACACGAAAATTAACTGACCATTCTCTTTAAGCTAGTAAACACATTAATATAAACACAGTATTTTTTGAATAAAAATCATATGTATTGTTTTTAGGTTCAACATGTCCTACCCTGGACCAGGCCGAAGATCAAACCATGAAAATTGGACCAAGGACAGGACTTAAATGTATTTGGTCCAGTCTCGGTCTTGACTAAACAATCTGATCTATTTTTTGGTCTGGACCAAAACATGAAAACCCCTAGTTCAGATACTCAATATAGTCATACCCAATTACTTTAGCCACAAAGCCTGTTACATGTATAAATTAATTTTAAGCTACTACATTTGTTATTGTATTGAGCAAAACCAAACACAACAGGCATATCATTAATAGCATCATCCAAACCCTAACTCAAAACAGGATGATACCCCTCCGAAGCAACCACTCCCTGTTTCCCAACCAAAGAGAGGAAAACAAAAGAACTGAGAGAGAAAATAAATGCCCCCAAAAAATTCCAAAAGATGCCATTTACACTTGAACTCCATTAGGGATTGCCCAAATATATCATACATAAGTAACATGAAATGATGAAATCTTCATTGACAAATCAACTTTCATGAGCATAATAAATGAAAAGGGAGAGAAATAGAATATGCATACCTGTGCATGAAAGACTTCTGAGCTTCACTTTCCTTATCTGCTATTTTATCCAACAATTCCTTGGCTGTCCCCCAGCCATCCCCAACATCCTAGCCAAAGCAACAAAGAACAGATCTCACAAAGCAAAATCATATGAGATTGAGATTGACAATATAATTATAGGATACAGGATAATGTTCTTTTACCCGAACAGGTTGAGTGCTAAAGTCTACATAAAAGTCTGATCCGTTGCTTTTTATCCATTTTTCACCACACAATAGAACAAATGGCATACCAACAAAGTTCTCGTCCTCAATTTTAATTTCTAAATATTGGACCTGCAAAACTAGGACATAGAAATGAGTTATCTGCCACAAATAGCGTCAACGTATGGGATAAGATGCCACTAAATATTGTGATTCAGGAGTGTTATAAATAAACAAAAATAGAATTAAATGCTATACTTTGTTAGACAGATTATCAGATGGGACGGCTGAGAATTGTGATTCCGCATACTTTTCAGAAACAGTTGATCCAGGAGGCAATTCATTTTCAGGTGGTGCCTGCAAAATATCCAACATGGGTGATTAGCATAAAGCTATACAAAATTTCTCAAAATGTTCATTTTTTTGTTGGATTAGGATACAAAAGAGTGTAAAATTAATCATATCCACCATCTCACCAACCACTCTCCAGGTTTTCTTGATAATGCCCAATGAAGAATCACAGGCTCGTTGAGATCTGTAGCCAGATAAGCTTTCACCTTACCAGAGGACTTTGTGACAAGTACCTTGAGGATTAAAAGAGAAAAAAATTCAGAAGCAAAACCCAATAGCTATTGATGATAGAACTTAAAAACAATCATCATTAAGTACTAGTACTCACCATGAGTTCACAGTTAGAAATCTTATATAATTTCTTGTATAGGACATGGCCATCAACCTCTTCTTCCTTTGCTTTCACAAAAAGTTCAATCTTTGATAATGTTTGGTATTGTGACACATTCTGTTGCAACTCAGATCCAGACTGAGAAACATCTCTGTTGATAAGTTGATCTATATCTCTTGGCTTCCTCTGAATTCTTTCAATGGTGAAATAACTCTTATTTTCCAATTGCTTGGAAACCTTAGTTTTTATTTCCCCCTTTACAATTCTCTTCCTCAACTCTTCAAGGGTTACACCTTTTTTAAGTTCCAGTTGCAGCTCTCGTCTTGCTTCTTCAAATTCTCTCTGGCAATCAGAGAATCAGAAAATAGTTAGCGGTTCTAAAGCAGCTTTTCTGGATTAAAGCATAGTTTTACTAAATGCAAACATATAACAAAATTCAGAATTTACAAGTTGCTTCTCTGGAGGATATCTGGGTTTTCCAGCTTTTTCCCATCGTATATAAGCTTGTATCTGTACAAGGTCATTGGGTATGTCACCCTGTTTTTCAGGTCTATGTGTCTCCTTCTGCTCAGCTATATCATTCTTCTTTGTTAACCTTGCTCTAATCTCTTCTACAGAAGCACCCCTTGATATTTCCTCTATCAGTTCTCTCCGTGCTGCCTCATATTCCTCCTTAAATGTTAAAACATGTATTATCAATAGTTACGTACATAAATGTACAGTTTCAATGGTTGTTATGTTAAAAAGCAATGCATTTCTAACACGGTAAGGGTAAACAAATACTGAACCATAATTCTTATATTACGTTTCAACTTTAACACTAGAGGGAGTAGAAATCCATCTTATGCTGAAAAAGAAAATAAAAGTTACATTGTTATTTTGAGTCCTGCAACTACATAACCTTGATTGCCACTTCCCAATAGCTAAAACAATAAAATCTAGAAATTTATGATGCATATGAGCCACAAAGAACTAACATAAACCACGCATATAGCTTCAACAGCTCATGCTTCAAATCATAATAGAGAATGAAATTAGCATATTATGTTTTCTTTTAAAAGGAAAACACCCAAATTGACAACTTATATGTGTCTTAAACTCAAACATTCAAAATGAGTTCAGATCTATAAAATTATGATACACATAGGCATGCTCAATTAAAATATGATATAAAATTAGAACTTCAGATTGTATAACTTAATGGAAATCAGGTGCCCAATTGCAATGCTGTTGCACATATATGCAACTAAAATAAGATATGAACTACTCACTTTCTCTTGCTCAGGGGAATACATTTGTTTTCCCTTCCTCTCCCATCTCAAATATGCCTGAATCTGCACAAGATCTTCAGGAACTCTGGCATTTGTGATATTTATTGCTCTTGGATGTAATTTAACACGGAAGTTGTCACCATTGTTCTTTATCCTGATACAAGTCAACAAAAAGAAACGGAGAAAGGAAAAATTACACACATATTTCAGTTTTGATGTTTATAGCAAGCTATTTTTGTAAATATGTGTTACAGTACCATTTGTTTTGGTCTTCTCTAAATATAAGGAACTCTATAGCCTCAATTGCAGGATCATCTATCTCCAATCTCACCATAGGGTTGGAACCAGACTAAAGGAAAGCATATTGAAGATAAGTAAGCATCCCCTTGATCTTTTGAAAAGCCTATAAGCAGATACATTACATATAATCCAACAAGAAAATCTCATAGCAGCTATCTACTTACTTTCACAAATGGAGTTCTAAGTGCCTTATTCTTATAGTCTTTAGTTCCATCCGGATGTCGATGAGGAAGCATCCACTTTCTAATAGTCATGGATTTTAAATTTTAAACAAAAGGTCAAATATCAAACTATGGCAACGTTATCCAATTCCGAATCAGTTGTATGGCACGGGCTTACCCTTCTGCAGACTTTACAACACCCCAGTGCAGAAACAATCCATTGACGTCTCTTGTAACCTTAAAATCAATCACTCTGAGATTATTGGAAGTGGGGGGCTTAACATCAACCTGTTCATGGAGAATGAAAAAGTATTTCTTATACTCCATACCATTTAATAACCCTGAGATTGCTAAATAGGATTGGACCACCAGCCACAACAAATAACTACTACGGAGTAAGTAGTAACCACTATGTATACCTGCAATTCAATATCCCCTCCAAGGTTGAAATTTTCAGCATGCTGCTATAGAGGAAGAAAAAAACAAGCCAAGATTTATTCAAATTAACAAGTACAATATAGGCATAAACCACAAACAAGGACATTGATTCGCAAATCATTGTGAATATAATCACAAAAATGCCCTGAGTGCGTAATTATGATTTATAAATAAAAATTGCAAAATGAATACTCAAATGCCTGCTATATATATACCTCAGATGAGGGATCAATGGCTAAGACAGCCCTAGGACCAGAAAAAACATGTCTTCGCATCTGTGATTTCTTTTTCTGCACTTTCAGCGTTTCACCTTGAAACTCCGCCAACAAAGGCGATTTTCGTGTCTGTGATTTTGCCTGAGGGTGAAACAATGAACCACTCAAAACTGGAGAGGAGCCGATTCTGTGTTGATGTTCCGGCACTGCTGGATGAAGGAATCTGTGACGCAGCAAGTTATTCCCTATTGTACTGCTCATATTCCCGTCTCTATGAATTCACTGTTCCAATTGGCAATTATCAATCAACAAGCAACTAAGGAATCACACACAGATGCACAATTATAAATATCATGAACCAGAACACAAGTTTAGTTTCATAAATCAGAACACAAACTTAAATCTCATTGTGTTGAATTTGTCCCACATCTACAAAATATGAGTGAATAAACATCTTCCCTCATTCCACATTAACTAAATACTGCCTTTGTCCCAGATCATTCATCTTTTGTTAATAAAAAGACACTTTGATCATCAGTTAAATAAAAATTGCACTGAAGATCAGTACAAAAAAGTCAAACTTGATAAATACTATCGTACAAAGGGAGTGTGAATCAATTTAATCAACTCCTTTAGTTGTCGAGTTCGAATTGTTTTAGTAAAAGAACTAACTTTGATCATCATTTAAATACAAATTGCATTGAAGACTATTATAAAAAATTCAAACTAGAGAAATAGGACAATGGGAGTATGAACCAATGACTTAATAATTGGGAAGTAAAATTGAACTTGGATTTGAACTAGACACGACACTGATTCTTAACTCACTGAGTTAGATTAGATTTGAACTAGCACTCCACTCTTAAACCATTGTGCACACCAGGTGTTTGCATATATACACACACTTCAGAAAATGCAAACAATCAAAAGATCAACTCCATGAAATCATTAAACAAAACATTCAAACTCAAAACGCATGAATCGAGAAACCGAGCAGCAATGGAGATTGAGATCTGATTCTGCGTGAGGAAGAAAGAGACTTGACCTGAGAGCAAGGTAGCGAGCAAGGTGAAGTGCAGAGACGGGAGAGAATGGAAGGTGGGGACTGGGGACGAGGGAGGAGATCGGGGTGGGGAGGGGGGGTTTAAATAGCGGGAATGGACACGTGGCAGCTCGCGGAGAGCTCGAAATGGTGCATGGGTTTTCGAGGGGATATTTTGGCATGTGGACAAAAAGGTCAGAGGACTGTAGGAGACGACGCCATCACCACCACCAAACACTGTCGTTTTGGGCTATTTCCGTCTTTTTCATTACTTTCTCTCTCCCCCCATTTTTTGTGTGTGAAATACAGAGAATGGGTTTTGGCACTGTAGCAGTGTGGCTGCCGTCCAATCCTCATCTGCTGTGGTCTTTTTAATATCTACGGAGTATCTATAAATTTATTTTGGCACGTACTTTCGAAATATCTTACTCCATATTTTTATAATGGAAAATGGTAGGGTACACCAAAAGTGTACCCCAAACATCCCCACTCCCTCCATCACCACACAAAAATGGCAAGAAAAATTCAAAAAAAAATAAAAAAATAAAAATAAAATAAAATGAATGGTTAAAAGGAGAGTGGTGTACATTTGGGGTACACCTTTGGTGTACCCCTAGCATATCCCTTTTATAATTTATGAATCTATACAAATAAAGATGTCAATAGTCAGAGTGGTGTATTGGAGATCGTAAAAATTCAAATGCGAAAAAAATATATACGACGGCTGGAATATTCCATAAAAACTACTCCCTCCGTCCTAAATTTAATTTTCTAGTTTGACTTTTCCAGTCAAACTTTTTAAACTTTGACCGTAGATTAAGGAAAAAATACATTGAATTTTCATATAAATTTATTAGCAATAGATTCATTTTGGAATGTAGTTTTGAAATATATAATTTTTATAAAATATATTTATATAAAAATTGAGATATTGATGGTCAAAGTGTCGCATTAGAGACCGTGAAAAGTCAAATGGGAAGTTAATTTTAGGACGGAGGGAGTACTTCGTATGTGTTGTATTTCTAGGGTGTTTGGCACTTGGTTATATAGTAATTTTTTACTTCTTACTTTGTCCAAAAACAATTTTGTATGTTTGATAAAATTACTTATGATTATAGTGTATGACTTGTTTGGCTTCAGAGTGCAAAATAAGCTCCAAAAATGCTTTCTTTGCGAAATTGGGATTAAATATTTTTAAAATTCTTCATTATTTATATGACTTTTGCTTTCAAAAAATCATTCAGTGTGTCAAATCATGTGTCACCAAAATCATGATAAGTCAAGATACATCATGTCTTTACAAATACACACTTAGTCACAAATACGTAATGTACGTGCATGCACAGATATTGTGTGTGTGAGTGTGTGAACCCCTAGTTTATTGGCTAGATTGTTGAATGGGGACTTGACATCTCTTATGCACATTCCCTTATAAGCACCATGTGTAAATAAGTGTAATATATTTTCACACTCCCACACTTAACAACTCCTGCCCACTTTTCATTCTTCAAGCTTCTCCTTCCACCATTAGTGGAGTTTTGGTAATGAAACTCTAAGTATGTGGGTATATTCCATTCTTATCATTATTATACTCATTTTAATTAACGCTCTCCTCATGTCGTTTACCTTCACGCTACCAAGATTCGAAGAGAAGACCTCAAGACAATGAAAGCTAGAAGTAGATAGTGACGTCCATTCGTTGACCGTATGTTGAGGTGTTAGGATTTTAGTGTTCCCTTCAAAATTTAAGGTCTGTACCCCAGACTTATGTTCGACGTAGATTTTGTAGAATCATTTGTATACGCATATACTTGACTCGTAGTTGTTATCGTTATCTCCCTAACTCTAGAGAATACCCTACGTAAACCTTTGTACGAACTTTACGTTAAAACTAAGATATTTTATGTTAAATCACCATATCATTATCTTATATTGATAAAAATGGAGAAAGTATATTTTGAATAAGTAAAAATGGACTTCACAACTCGCATCCCAAGAATGCAGCAGACCATTGATTAACACGGTCGACTGCTTAGTGGAGCGGTCCACTAGGTGAACCATCTGAAAGAAGAGACTGTAACTGCTATCCAGATGGTCGACCGTGAGTAAGACGGTCCACCGATGTCAATCGCTAACGATGTTCCCACTGAAGGATCTTCTTCGCTGCAACACGACGGTCCTCTATTGTCCCACACGGTTTAAGGCTTGAACTGTCGTTACTGTTCACGCCAAACCCAACTTAATCCCTGAGACGGTCCTCTAGAGCTAACAAATAAACGGTCGATCGTACAACCTCGATGGTCGACCGTCACGGTGATTCCAGAGAGCTATAGGAACGGTCGACCGTGGCTTTGTAACGATCGACTATGCCTCGTCCAGTAGCTTCAAATCTTGCATAGTAGCCTTGGTTTGTGTAATTAACTTTAATATGTTGATAAATAATTAAGAATGATATCATGTTAGAAACTTAGTAGAATACTTTTGAGCTTAGATGTGAACGATTTAGGTGTTAAGTATGTACATGCATAAAGTCTTAGATGCGATCAGGCACCCACATATCATTCAACCTGTGTATCCAGAACTAGGAGGGTATTTATACCCAAACTCAGAAAGGTCAGAGACCAAATTTTTAACCTAAAGAGAAGGGTGCTCGGACCCAGACTCATACAGGGGAAGTCTTATCGAGTTCTTTCGCTAGGGAGATTGACTCTACAAGATGGCGAGAATTAAATGGACTAAATGATAGAAAATGAATAAGGTTATTATCTAGTTTTTAAATGAGATGTGATGGACTTATGAAAATAGAATAATTGACTTATCATATTTAATCATTTGACTTGTATGTTGTGTTTATGAATTATCTTATACGGAGTAGAACCTATGCTGTTGTACCACTCAACAGTTTTGCTAAGCGTACAGTTGTCTTTGTTGATTGATTGTGCGTAGGTAAAAGACGTGATGGAGCCAATCCTAGAAGGCGTTGAGGTGTAAGAGATGGCGGCATGACATGGGAATAATTTAAGCTTATTGTATTTCTTTATATTAAGTTAAACATTTTTGGGTCTTGAAACCACTTGTGTGCCCTTTTAAACTATTTAAGCTTCCACAATGTTTTACTTTATTTCATACTCCAAAACTATCTATGATATTGATGTCGTGAATTATTGGAATTATTATTATTAAAATGTTTTCTTCAAATTATAGAGGTTATTTTACCAATTTGCTAACGCTTCGGCTTGCTAATCTAAATGAACTAGGTTACACGGTTCGGGGTATTACAATTTATTCGGTGATCAGAGCGCCCTCATCCATACTTATATCCTTCCAAAAAACAACCATTCCAAAACTTAAAAAAACTCGAAAACATAAGTTGATCACACCAATTATCTTGCACCTCACCTCGTCAGTAGTTCATTGTGAGAAAAAAAATCAAAATAAAAATTATGGAAATTCACTAGAGCCTCTACAAACAATTCAAAGATATCCAGGATAAGAAGATGAATGTCAAAGCTCGTGATTACGAACCAAAGCAGTGACTCTCTCAGTCGTCCTGTCTGCACTGGTCGATTTGCAATTTAGCACAAACCCTGTGCCAACAATATCAGTGAGGAGCTTTAGAAGAAGAGAGAAACGCTACAATGGAGAAATCAACGAAGACCACGAAGAACAATGGCAAGAAATCTACGAAACCAGCAATAACACTCGATCAGTTCGTATCAATCATGAATCCACTGATTGACTTGGAGAAGGTTTATTCCTTTCTCTCTCGAATAGTTTAAACTCACCTTTTTTTCTCTCTCTAGCACATTTTGCAGTTAATCGGAATTGCAATTTAATCCGAGTTATCTCCTTCCATCCATTTTGTTTGCTGGACACATGGTTGTTGATTCTTGTTGTTGTGCTCGTATGACATTGATTAGGAAGCGGAGATTTCAGCTTCCCTGAGCTCAGCCGAGACGAGAAGTTTGGATGTTGCTCAGAAGAAGGGTTCCGCTATTCTCAACTTGAAGTGTATAGATGTACAGGTAGTGTATCCTTCTCGTGCTTCTTCTTTCTCTATGTGTACAGCAGGATATGTTTTCTCTGGTGGTTTGGTATGCTTAGTTTTGTATGTATGTGTAGACAGGGCTGATGGGCAAGACTATTATCGAGTTCCAGTCAAATAAAGAAGATCTTCTCCCCCCTCACAAGGTATTATCAAGTATCAACTATGCTCTAAAATTCATGGTGTGTGCGCCAGGCTCGTATGTATTATCAACTATGAAAGAATGGACTAAATCAAGATAAAAAAATAAAGTTCCATTGCTTCTTACTTTCTATGGAGTATATAGTTTTGGGAAGAAAATGCAGCATTAAGGGTCTAGAGGAAACAACCCTCTGTTTTTACATGGTTAAGGTTGCGTACATCATGACCTGCTAATGCAGCTGGGATTATATTGGGTTTGCTGTTGTATGTGGCAGGCTCCCGTTAGCTCTACTGTCCTCTTAGTGCGTTTTAGAATGTGGAGTATCAATAATAATTGATTTGCATTCATTGGCGCTTTTGTGCTCATCTTTGGAATAGATACTTCAGAGTAGTAATAAAAGTCATGTTTGATCGAAGCACAATTTTTTTGGCAAGGTACAATTCTTAAAAGTCACGGAATTCAACTAATATTGTACTCCCACCGTCCTAAAATGTACTTCCCACTTTTCTTTTTGGCCATCCTAAAATGTTCTCATTTACTTGTTCTTCCCACAGAATTTCACTCTCTTAATATCAGTGCCAGGTAAACATCATTAAGATGAACATTTTAGGATGGAGGGGGTATAAACTTATATTTTGTTTAGCTAAATTTATCGTAGTGAACTTGTTTGTAACTTTTCTTCTTCGGAAAGTTACATGAAAATATAGTTCTATTTTAAGAAGTTAGACTTTTTTAGGGATAAAAAAGCTTTCAAAACATGACTATTTTTTTGGGGATGGAAATTGCATGCTATGATGTGAATTTACCTCTTTTTTCAGCAGCATTGTTTATAGGACCAAAATAAATTTCTGAATTTTGTGCTTTTGGTGATGATCGGATTCCTCTAACACAGATCTTTGAGGATATTTCACTTGATAGTGTGTTCTATGTTTCAGAATTATTTCATTCTAGCTATTTTATCTTCTGTGATAAATTCACAAGTCACAACCATCTTTTTTCTGAGCAAATTTCTTGGGCTGGCAGTTTGGAACCCATGACGTTGTTGTTTTGAAACCAAACAAGGCTGATTTGGGCTCTCCTTCACTTGGACAGGGAGTAGTTTACCGACTGAAGGTAATGCTGTTTCATGACATCTGTCAACAGATGGTAGAATCATATTGATAAACGATACCATCTGTACTTCAAAATATATGGAGTAGCTTGAATCTTCTGATAGTATTACTTTTCCATTCATTATTGCTTTCTTTATGGAACAGGACACATCTATTACAGTTTCTTTTGATGATATTCCTGAAGAGGGGTTAAATAGTCCATTGCGTCTTGAGAAAGTGTCAAATGAGGTAAAGTATGAATTAGAAGCTGTTTTAGAACACTTATCTTTTTTGTTTATTTGATTTATATTAGGAATTATTTGAGATCACTCTCTGTCCAGTTACTCATTATTTACAGAGCTATACTTACTGTAAATATACCAGAAAATTCAAAGAATTTTGACAATATTCATCTCATTTGGAGTACCTTTTGCAGATAACGTATCGACGGATGAAGGACACATTGATACAACTGAGCAAAGGGGTTCAGAAAGGCCCTGCTTCCGACTTGGTGCCTGTTTTGTTTGGAGAGAGATCACCAATGATGTGTAAGAAGGATGCTCAGTTCACCCTTTTTAATCCCAACCTTGATCACCCCCAGGTCTTCAATTTCTCATCATTTTCTATATTTTGCACACTTTGGAGCCTTACTCCCTCTCTGAATTCCAGTATTTATCCTCTATCTTCATTCTAATTATACTTTTGTGAGAATTTTTGCAATACTTCAACGATTTTTTGTTTTGAAGATGCTTCAGGGGGGATGGTGGTTCTATTTAGTTTATAGTTTTTAACAAGCACCTTCATACCTGTAGATTTACTGACCTATATCAGATAATTCAGCAAAAGATTTGAAGGTTTTGAAGCCATAAGTTCATAACAGAAGAATTATTGTTCAAAACCAGTTGCCTTAAACTCTTTTGCTCTATTTGAGATTCTTTGTTTAATATCTCTGCCAAAGTGCCAAGTAATGTTTATGCTGCATTGTGAATTATATTTGGTAAAGAAGAAAATTTATTAGATGTCTACCTGCTGAATTTAATCGGTGCTTGCACCTAAGGGAGAAATTCAGAAAGTTTTTCATTGTCCACCGCAATTTGCTTTGACTAGTTTATTGTGTGAAAGCATTCAAGCTTTCTGCACTGGTAACAATATAATAAAGTAAAATCTGTATAAACAAAATATATATTTTAGAGTAATAATGAGTAATGACCATGCCAGCTAAATATTAATCTCCATGTTGATTCTTTTATCTTTGATGCATTGAAAGTTTTGCATCTTATAAGTTGGGCACAAAGCCACAAATGTAGAATTTGCATGTATATCCAATGCCACATTTAGTGGAAAAGATCTTTGGCGTGGTGTTGATTGCATTTCCATGAACTTGTACGTCATGTTTTACTCAGACTGTGTAGATTATTCTTTTCCAGACCTCCATAATTCTCTCCATCATTCTATCATACAACTATTTATGCAGTTCCTATTTGTGGTATCATATAAATGTAGTCTAAAGGTACTCTCTTTTTACTTAAAAGAAAGTTGCCATTACAAAGGCTCTTTCATCCAAGGATGTATTTTTGCTGCATGGACCTCCTGGAACGGGGAAGACAACCACCGTTATTGAGATTATCTTGCAAGAAGTGAAACGAGGATCCAAAATTCTTGCTTGTGCTGCTTCAAACATTGCTGTTGATAACATTGTTGAGCGGCTTGTTCCTCACAAGTAAAATTACATTTTGGCAATTACTTTACCTTCATTTGCAATAACATCCCTTTTCCGTGATATTTTAGATGACATGTGAGATAGCCAGAGCATTGAAAGTATTATTGTTTTTTGCCATTAATTAGTGTCAATATCTCCTTTGACCAATACATTCCCATCTGCATCCTGCTCTCATTGTGTGCATTCTTAATCATTGCTTACTACGAAGTTTTGTAGAGTAAATGCAATAATCCAACAAGTTGGTATATGTGAAATTTTCCTGAGCATTATACAATCTAACCTTTTAACAGAAATAACCTCCCTGTTTTTTTATAGGGGTAAGGTTGCATACATCTTGACCACCTAGACCCCAATCAAGTTGGTATTATACTGGGCTTGTTGTTGTTGCATGATGTTAAAATTTGATAAGATTAATACAACATGCAATATTTCTGTTACCTTTTCAATGTGAGTCTCATCACTTAATACTTCAAAAGATTCACAATTCTGTGTATATAGTTGCTTAGTGCATTTTCGTTAAAGAACATATTGTGGACACTGAAAGTATATATTGCTTTGCCCATTGTGACTAGGGTGAAGTTGGTGAGAGTGGGGCATCCTGCTCGCTTACTCCCTCAAGTATTGGACAGTGCACTTGATGCTCAGGTAAATTTTCCCTTAGTTTGGTGATAAAGGTTAGATTGTATAATGCTCGGGAAAATTTCACCTTGTCTCTTTCTTCATGTGTGATACATGGACATTTATTTCCATTGCTTCAGAACATGTTTCTACTTATTTGAAAGATAGAAGTACATATTTAGATAAATAGTTATATACTACGTATGTGTTAGTTCGCAGATGCAAAATCTTGTTGCATTTATGTGTTTGCGGATTTCAGTTGCCCTAGATTGGTGCTATTTTTTGTTAGAGAGTTCCCCTTGGAGAAACATAGTATAATACTGATGCATCACTTTTTTCCCATCAAGCTATTTTTGTGTATTGAGTAATTTCTTTTCCTTGGAATGCATCTCTTGTAGGTTCTTCGTGGTGATAACAGTGCACTTGCGAATGATATCCGCAAAGAGATGAAGGTAAAATTTGCACTAAAGCATAAGTAGTTAATCTATGAATTTTGCAAAAAATGGTCTGCCTTGTGGTAGTGAGGAATAAAGTTGTAAAGCTAGCAATTCTAGGAGCATGAGGCCATTATCATGAGATCATTATGAAGACTTATTTACACTTTGGTATTGTAAATATTTGACTAAATACTATTCAAAAATGGGAACTTTTTTGCGGGACAGAGGGAGTACCTTTTAATCCTCTGTGATTGGTATCAGAAAATACTCTCTTATAATTATTTTAAAAATAGAAATCTCAATTCTATGACCCTCAATGCTGTGAAATCATTGGCATTCATATTCTTCTAACCCAAGTAATTGATGACATAAATCAAGGAAAATAACAAAATACTTCCTGATCCATATGTTTAATCATACTGTCCTTGCTAGTATTCACTGGTCAAACCAACTTGAATTTATTCTCTTATTTTTTGTAACATTACCTCCTCTGTTCCAAAATCTACTCCTCATTTTCCTTTTTTGGTTGTCCTAAATCCTAATATCAACCTTCCATTTCTTTTTTGGCATACATTTAGTTTTCAGTTTTTACTTCTTTCTAATAATAAAACAGGCGTTTACCCTCAGCCACCTAAATCCTTTAACTTCACTTTTACTAAACTCAAAAAATAGGTATGGGCATTTAGATAAAGATTTTTTTTGCTTGTGTAATTTCCATTGTTCACGATTCATTTTTGTAGGCTTTAAATGGGAAATTGCTAAAAGCCAAAGATAAAAACATAAAGAGAGAGATAAGGAGAGAGCTCAAAACTCTTTCCAAAGAAGAGCGTAAAAGGCAACAACTGGCGGTGACCGACGTAATCAAGAATGCAGAAGTGGTATTAACAACCTTAACTGGCGCATTGACCCACAAGTTGGAAAACACTTCATTTGATGTTGTTATAATTGATGAAGCTGCCCAGGCACTTGAAATAGCATGCTGGATTGCCCTGCTCAAGGTAATATAAAAGAGTGATATTTATATCATGGTTATTTTTTTATTTTATTACACTAACTAAAGGCTTGATTTCAAGGGTTCAAGGTGTATATTAGCTGGAGATCACCTCCAGCTTCCTCCAACCATTCAAAGCGTTGAGGCAGAGAAGAAAGGACTGGGAAGAACACTGTTTGAACGTATTGCAGACTTGTATAGTGACGATGTCATGTCTATGCTCACAGTCCAATATCGTATGCACGAACTTATAATGAACTGGTCATCCAAAGAGCTTTATGACAGTAAGGTACATATCCACTACCATACTTAATATTAGGGCATGAAATTATGATTGATTTGAAATACAATCCATTGTTTTTCTAAAAATGCCAAGATCTAATTCTACTTGGCATTCTGTTTGCTTCGTTCTCTAGATTGAAGCACATGCAAGTGTTGCTAAACATATGCTTTATGACCTTGATGATGTGAAGATGTCATCTTCAACCGAGCCAACTCTAGTCCTCATAGACATTGCTGGGTACAATATTATTTTTACTTTAGTTGTCATTCTTCCAGTTAAAACACAATTTGTTTCTTACTGGGGGCTTGGGAAGCAAATATGTGGCTTTATGTGATACAAATGCATTCTGTTTGTTACTTCTCACATCATAGATGGCTTCTGTTTTAGTTGTGACATGGAGGAGAAAAAAGATGAGGAGGATAGCACAATGAATGAAGGTGAAGCGTTGGTTGCCATTACTCATGCAAAAAGGCTTGTCCAAAGCGGGGTGCGAGCTTCTGATATTGGAGTAATCACACCTTATGCAGCACAGGTAAGAGTCATCATGATGCTATTCCATGCGTCCCTTAAATTTTAAAAGAGTCTTGTTTCACGAAGATAATCAAGATACAACCTTTTAATTTTAGTAAGGCACAAGAATTGTAAATCATTAGTATTTTTAAACTTTATTTGTTGTTGTTGTTGTTGTTGTTGGTTTTACTGGTTATAACAAACTCAACTTGTTTGGGACACTTGTCTTATCAGATAAGTAGCAAGTATAAGACATTCCCAAATAGGTAGTAGGGGCTCCCGGAAATTTGTAAGTTTTACAGAGCGTGCGTTGTTGTGTAAGGTTCTGCTGTTGAAAGTGTTAAGAAGCAAGGAAGACAAGTTAAAAGATATGGAGATTTCAACTGTTGATGGTTTCCAAGGCCGAGAGAAAGAAGCCATCATCATTTCAATGGTGCGGTCAAACTCAAAGCAAGAGGTATTCATGATCTTTTGTGTTTTTTTCTGGAGGAATCTTATTTGCTATTTCAATAGTCGATGTAGCACAAATATGGATATGTTGATCGGACATGGTGATATTGAAATCTCAGAAATATAGTATGTCGGCACATGGGTGAAACTGTAAATTTAAAAATTATCAGTTTCTAATATAGGGTTTTTGATGTTTTCGGAAAAAGAAAAATAAATATACAAGTTCTCTTTGAGTTTTTCCTAATTTATAAACTAAAAACTATGCAACCATCTATAGACAAGGGGTTATGTTTTACTCCGGGATACGAGCATCTGAAAATTTAAAAATTGCAAATGGGTCCTTGAACTTTTGAAAAAATGTGTAAAGCACCAGATTGAACCTGCTAAATAGCCAGCTGGCTTGATCAAAGACTGATCAAAGTTTTCATCTTCAGGTTGGATTTTTGAGTGATCGTAGGAGAATGAATGTTGCTGTGACACGAGCAAGAAGACATTGCTGTCTTGTCTGCGACACTGAGACTGTCAGCAGTGATGCGTTTTTGAAGCGTTTGGTTGAGTACTTTGAGGAGCATGGAGAATATTTAAGTGCTTCAGAATATGCAAATGAATGACACACTTAATAATTTAACCATGCTTCGAACCCGAGTAGCTTCATGTATAAGTAATTCATTCTTTTATGATGCTGATCTATTATCAATGCCATATATACACTCCAATTTCACATTTTGATGCAAATTTTGAACTGATGGTTCTCAATGCATTTCATTTATGAGTAAATAATATTGTTGGTTCCATGCTGGAAAAATAGGCATAGTTTCTTTGTGTATGCATGCAAGTATGTGGCAAAGCAGATCAATTGAACTTGTAAAAACCTTTGTGTGTGAGAGCTTCTATTCCTTTATCGAATTCTAGAATCAAAACCCAGTTGAAAGCCAGAATTCTTGGCAGGTAGCTTTCTTTCAACCAGTTCTGCTACAATATGTTCATTCATTCTCCAATAATACTACATTTTTCAGTTATGCAGATCTAGACGTACTTGACCTGTATAGATTGTTGACGAAGGATCACTGCCGATCAGTTTTGTCCACTGTAATGATATTGTAAGTACATGATTTCTTCACCATCGATAGAATATCTATCTGACAAATGGTATTCATCTAATGATCTAATCACCTTGTTAATCAGCCTGAAGTTGAAATGCCAAAAAGAAACAGGTTTTGTCCTTTTCAAAAAAAATTAATGCCTCTTAACAAAAAAAGGTACTCCACATGTAGTAAGTGGCTTGTGAACTGCATAGACATGCAACAAGTAGAAAATTTAGCTTGAGTTAAATAACAGATCCACCTAATTTTAGAAGTTCCATATATTTGTGTAGAAACCGAGTATAAGCTGCCTGCACAATCAACTGTTTGACTGCTTTCTATTCCTGATATTGCTTCCGGTCCGTCCCAACTGTAGGTTGTCTCCAAACATAGCTTCCGGCTCCGGGAAATAACTAAACAAGTGATCCACATCTGACCGGCAGTTATCATCTTTTTGAACTATTCCCATCTGCTGGAGGAACTCGTTTAGATCAATCTGAGGCTTCTCTCGTTCCTTTTCCTTAGGGTCCTTTTGGAAATAGGATAGTACTAGGGAAAGAAAATTAAGAGAAAAATTAGAAAGAAACCAAATTTCAGTGACAATGAAATTTATACTCAAACTCAACAGATTTGTTTTAGATATCTTTTCGACCTCATTTTATTGATTTTTATTTCTTGATAATAACACTAAAAATGATCTGTGTACGTAAACTTTTTCCATCATCTCTGATAGAGCCAAGATTCACTATTTTTTTGGCTTCAAGGTATGGATAAAATACAACAAAATGACTCTTTAAAGTTTAAACTGACTACGCTTCTTTAATAGTGAATTAGAAGTTAGTCAATGCAACTTCGAATACTCATCATGGGTAATCCAGAAACAGTCCCTCTATGTTTTAAACATAGGGGTCTCCGTACCGCCGAACCCCCCCTCCCCCCCCCAGCAATGGGCGGGAAGGAGCATTTGAGGCATTGGCGTACATTTTTTCATTTTCTTTTGTTTTTTCCATGGTGAAAACAAATATATAGTATAAGAAAATGCAGCATTCATGCACGCTTCCTTTTTCTATTCCCTATTATTTTTCGAGATCCAAACATATATACCTGTATAATCAAACTCAATAAGTTTATTTAGCCTCATTTTATTTATTTTTATTTCTTGATAATAGCACCAAAAAAATTCTGTGTATGTAAACTATTTCCATCATTTCTTACGGAGCCAAGATTCACTGTTTTTTGGCTTCGGGGTATTGATAAAATAGAGCAAAATGACTCTTTAAGTTGTCTATGCTTCTTTAATAGTGAAGTAGAAGTTAGTCAATGCAGCTCATCATGTGTCATCCGGAAACCGCCGCTCTATGTTTTAAACATAGGGGTCTGCGTGCTGCCCACCTCCCCCCCACCCCCCACACTGCAATGGGCGGGAGGGAGCCTTTGAGGTACTGGGGTACATTCTTTCGTTTTCTTTTGTTTTTTCCACAGTGAAACCAAATACATAGAAAAAGAAAATGTAGCATTCATGCACACTTCCTTTCCTTTCCCTATTATTTTCTGAGATCCAAACATATATACCTGTAGTTTCTTAATCATTAACCAAGCAGGGTTGTACGAGTGGTACGACCATGGGGTCACAAGGGGAGATGAGCTGGACGAAGGCGCTTCTTCTGCTTTCTTTAGTTCTTGAAGCCTTTGGTGAACGACACGCACATTTGGTTGCATGTTTAGGTTGAGCAGCCTGGCAGCTGGGAACAGAGAAACCAAGTTGTTGCTAGTGGAAGGTAACCATTTCTTGAGCTTATTGTTGTGGGATCTGTTTAGAGGGTTGTTGGTTTAGTTGGAGGACCTCAACTCAAGTGAGGGAGATTTAGGTAAGCGTCCGGTCCATAGAGTCTCCTAGCAGCCTCATCATAAGCCATGGTGTCGGTTTATCATGCTCTTAGAGCACTCTTAATTACCTTTGGTATATTTAGATCACTTATAGAATTGCTACCTTTGTACTAAATTTATGCATAAAAGAAATAAAATTCATAATTTTTGAAAATAATATCAATAGTTCTAAAAACAAAAATTGACATGAGTATAATGGTCACAATATATACTGTACTAGTATGATATTTCTTGTACATTCATGGTGAGTACTCGTTTATAAGTAATTAAATATTCTTTTTTAGCAACTGAATGCTCATTTTCAAGTAATTGAATACTCATTTTTCAAAAATTTAGTTATACTCATAAATAAGTATCCAAACAGATGTATGCGAAACAATATACATCTAGATGTATGCATACGTGCTCATGGTCAAATTGTCGATAAAAATATGCAAATGTAATACTGTAATAATTTGACCATATAAATACAAATTATGTTCTTTATTTTGAGACGAAAAGGGTAAATGAAACGGAGTATATTGAATTTATATTATAATTAAATATATATTTTAAACAAAATGTGATAAAAAACGTCTCTTTGACAAAAAAAGTCAAAACATGAATTTTTTTGGATGAGACAGTACATACGAGTAGTAAATAGATACTTCCGAGTAATGATTTCTCACTTTGACTCTGCAAAAAATAAGAAAAAGCGTATGTTGAAAAGATATTTAAAATGTTGAATATTGAAAAAGAAAATTATTTTGGAGCAAAAAACTTTTGATCTTTTTTAGGAAAATGGAAAATGAAAATGAATTTGTTTTTTAGATGGAGTTAGTACTTACTAGGTTTGGATACATTAGACCGAATTCTAATATATCATCAGTATAAAAATTACGGGAGTAACTTTTTTCATTGAAATGAGTTTCTATATTATATATACACCTGGATATACAATGTTTTTGTATAGTCAACATATGCATATTAATAAATTAAGGGATATTCATTTCACACGTTTCTCTCTTTGCATTTACGTAAAACATGCATATTAGTATGAAATTGATGCACACATTATGCTAGAAATCAGATACGATTGATACCACTGATGCAATGGATTGTGAACTTATACAAATACAGATAATAATTATCCGTAAACACATAGAGTTCGCAAAGGATTATTATCGCTTGTGTATAAATTCACATTCAGTTGTCATTCGGGTGTCAACTATATTGAGTTTATAGCATTTTCAATTACACCACGCTTATTTTGTTGTTAAAAGAGATTTTCGCTTTGTTATAGATAGCTTTTTCAAAATACTAACGCTATTCTCTAATGCTGATACCAAACGGAACCTTAATGTTTGGCCGATGAAAAAAAAAGGTAAGAATGCTGGGTATAAGTTATCTCGTTTATATATAAAACTAAATATATTTATTTATTTACTTATAGCTACGAGACAACGGAAAAGACGACACAAATGAACAAATTTTATTTGTCCTATTTCCGTTCTTTTTTATTCCGTTCGTTCCTAAAATAAATTTACTACTCGAATGACGTGCAAAGTCACGTTAATTTTAAAATGATTTTGTTTACTAATTGGTATAGAAATAAGAATTAAATTTATATATTTAAAAATCACATAAAAAAATTTATAAAACAAGAGATAATAAAAATATTTTATATTATTAAATGACCAATAAAAAGATGTAAACAAAGTTACATGTATATACTATAATCACAAAGAACATCCCGATTCAAATGACATTGGACTTCAAAGTCATAGGATTACCCGAGCACTCTCTAACCCCTGGTTAACTTCTCACTCCAGTTTGGCCCAAATCAGGCTAAAATTTTTGTGGTGCAATTAGAAGGGGTGGGGGTGGTATCAAGTCAAGTTAGGATATAGTTGTTTATCGAAGAATTAAAGAGATAAAATCCATCATTATTTTTTAAATGAAACAAGGCAAGTGCTCCAATCTTGGCCCAACTCATAAGATGAGATGATATGGGGGACCCCAACCTCGTTCTTTGTTGAGACTAGTGGAGTTTGGGGGACAAAATTGTGCCCACCAGGGAGAAACCCGTACGAAAGTTTTTTGATTTTTTGAGGACAATTCCGGCCGAAAGTTGGAAGGCCGCATACCTCTTGCAGCGGTTGTCTTTCTTTCTCGCCGGAGTTCTTCGCTACTGTCTGCCAGTTTCTAGAATCTGGCCTTCTTGGAGGAGCCGCTGGGATAAAGGTTTTATTTTGTCTTTAGTTATAGATATACGATGTCTGATTTCTGAGAGGCATAAGAATATGTGGACTTTTATCTTTTCCATTGAATATATTTGTTAAAGCTTCGGATTTATGAATTAAAGAAAAAAATCTGAATGTATGTGTTTGCGAAACATCCATTGAAGCTTATGATTTTTTGGATTTGGTAAAGCTTTGAAACAATTTGCCGAAGTGTATGAATTTTGACATTGCTAAAAGGAAAACTGTGCATCTGAATATATGTAATTGCATAAGATTTTGGATCTGTGATTTTCCGATTGCTTCTGAATTTATGAAATTGCTAAAGCTTGAAACAATTTACTCAAGCTTATGAGTTTATGAAGCTGCAAAAAGGAAAGAATACACGAAGTATATCTGAATTTATAGATTTTCTAAAGATTTTGAATTTATGAATAAAGCTTTGGAAGAGTTTTCTAAAGCTTCTGAATTTTTTTCGTCTTCTTCTTTTGAATTTTATAACATTTCCTTTATTTTCTTTGGAAGCTCCAGAAATTAAAAGTATAGTTTAACTCTGTTTTATGGCAGCTGATTTTTTTTTCACAGTGAGATTGAGTGGTTTTGGTGTTTTATATGTATCACGAGCTTTACCCCTTGAGATACCTGAGACTGAAATAAAAGCTCTACTCTTACATCAATATAACTTATATAAGTATGCAATTTATTTATATAAGTTAAGGATGTAAACTTCATTGAGTCAATGACGAAAGATGTAAATGTTGTTTTGCTGGGATGTGTTACCAATATGGCATTAAGGTGTGCATCTCTCACTCTAGTTTAGCGTCGCTTATATTGTGAACTTTTGGTCTTAACCTTTTAAAGCCAACTTTTTAACTTAGGCTCTGCCATCAGCTTTGGCTAAAACTTGAACCCACCTACCAATAATGTAGTATGAATTCCTCACTAGATGGCATTAGGTGATTATGATAGTTCTGCCCCCTTTAAAATTTATGATAGCTTACTTCAATCTTGATGTCATTTCTTGTCTATTGGACGTATGAGTCCGATCGAGCCCACACATGGTTTGGCATGCCAGGTCTTTTTGTTTTAAGGGTCACAAGGCTCCTAGAGTGGATAGCTTTATCGTCCGTTCTTGGTGTTCACAGTTTCAGGATGCTGATGTTGATAGTTGGATATGGTTTGCAATACAAAAGGAAGTATAAATGTTTGAATTAGACTTGGAAGGGCGTCGTCGGACCTGTAAATACAAGTTATTGGCACCGTAGTGTTCATTTGTTAGCCTAAGATCCATCAAGTTGGGCATGTAAATGTTGAGGATGATATGGTTCATTATTTATTGGAATCGTGTCTGGATCTGGAGAGTTTATGGATAGAGTACTCATATTGTACGAAGAATGTCCGAGTTGTTGCACGGTTGCACCAAACTTGAAACATTTGAAACTACATTGCTGCGAGATCCAAAGGGTGGAGATAATCTGTGCAGCTAGTCTTGAAACATTTTCATACATGGGAGTGAAGGGAGTCGAGTACTTTTTGAAGAGTGTTCCAAATCTCACTGGACTATGCCTCGGGGGATGCTTCGCTCTCCTTTCTTCATGAATCTTACAAACACTCGAGTTATTCTGTTCATTTGACAGACCTGAACTTGGGTCTTTCTCCCATGGTTTGCTTGACTGGCATTGAAGAATTATATATTTATTTACTTGCTACAAGTAATAATTACCGATATTCTTAACTTTGGCTTTTGTTTTTCTTTACAGGACTTGCAGTCCTTGAGAATAGCAATTCCTCTTGACACTATTCTCTTCTCTCGAGAAGCTGACTGTGGGTAGCAATTCGCCAGTTGGGCGAAGTATTCTTTTCTTCACTTTATTGATCAAGGCCTCTCCTCGCTTACGCGAATTCAAAATCACAGTGAACGATCTCTCCCCACCCCACTATATGTGTGTGTGTGTTTAGGGCTTGACTATTCTTACATGAAGATTATTTACACCATTTTGACATTGAGAACTCAAAATATTGCAACATTACTATAAGCTAATGAAATGAATACAAGTATTCAAACATGGAACTGAAATAAAAATATGAACTCAGTATCACTCTAAAATATCACTCTGATAATTTCAGCATTTGTGAGAGTAAAAAGAGTGAGCATATAGAAAGACTAAATGTTTGTTTGATGTCATTGATGTAACACTGTATTAAAGCACTGTAGTATAAAGATATCAGCACACATCCCAGAAAGCAAAAACCATGCTTCAGATATTGATGAACCCAAACAAAATTATTGAAAAAACTAATAATTCAAAGAGTAGACTCGCGTTTGAACAAGTTCTACACTATCTTCTATACAAAAGCAGCCTCACCCACGTACATTCCTTCTACTCTGCCTGATATTATCCAAATCTTCTTTTCTACCACATAAAAGGATATGGACCAAACATTCTCCCCTGAAGATATTGCCTCTCATAGGTTTTACATTGCACATTTACGGCATTTAGGAGTTGATTATGTTAAATTTGGGAAACTAAGAAAGGCTGTGTGTTAGTATCAAAGATTAGGTTTGGAGGGAACATTGGGGAATGTAACATTGTTTTTGTTTGTTTACAAGTAGTCCTCTTCCCTTTAATCAAATTTGGACATTATTTGTCTATCTAAACTTTGTTCTCTTATGTTGTTGGTCCCTGATGGATTACCTAGGCGGCAAGTATTTGGTACTCAAATTATCCATTCTCATTTTCTATTTCAATTAGGATCCCCCCTGAGTGATATGTAATACCATGTTTCTTTTGATGAGGAAGTCAATTCGTCGATGGATGTCATATCCTGAAATCAGCGCAGCAGACGTGGGCACGTTTAATCATCCAAATCTTAGGTTGGATCAAATGAAGTCTTATTTTGTGTGTTCCAGCAAGGACGAACTCCTTTTGGAATTGGTAGTGGTGGCTCCATCACTTGAAATGGTGATCATCGACACAAAACGGGCACATTTCAAGTGCGACCACAAAATAGAAATGACACGTACCAGGTGGACTGACCTCCGCATATGCGGGGAGAAACTAACTTTTCGCCAGTCAAGACTGACTGCGATGGAGGATTTTTTGTTTCAATTAAGAGAAAAGTTAAGTAGGAAAAATGTCGATGTGCAGCTAGCGCAAGAAGAGCTACAACGGAGACAAAATTTAGTTGATGCAAACCTGATCCTAGAAAATCAAGGATGGGTGGGCAGACAACAAGCTAAATTGGATGTTGCGTTGTATTTGGCGCAAAGATGTATGACTAAAATTGAAAGACTTGAAGAGCAAATCGATGAGTTGGAAGTTGACATCTCCGACATAGAGAGGGGGATGAGGCCGCATCTTAGATATTTTTTGCGAAGAGAAATCACCCGGGGACACCTTGTGACAATTAGGTTCCTGGGTGACATTACACTTCTTCGCCTGTTGAAGAAATGCAATGGGGACCACAAAGACTTTAGGTTCAGACTCGGCCATAGTATAAGTGGGCAAAACCTTATTTTCATGTGCGAAATGACGATGGATATTAGGGTTCCACGCCTTAATTATGAAAGTCATTTATTTTTACATATTGCGTGGGAATCACTTTCGCAGACATTTTAGTAAGTCCCTTAACTCCTCCCGTATATATTGATTTACTCTGTATTATTTGTTTTGAATGGACTTTTCTGATTAGTTACTATTGGTAGTAGACACTATCCCTTCCACTGCCATGATTTACAATACATTTGCTGGTACACACTATCCCTTCTACAGTCATGATTGTGAAGGGATAGTGTCTACCACCAATAGTAACTAATCAGAAAAGTCCATTCAGAACAAATAATACGGAGTAAATCAATATATGGGAGTTAAGGAACATACTATAATGTCTGCGAAAGTGATTCCCACGCAATATGTAATGACTTTCATAATTAAGACGTGGAACCCCAATATCTGTCGCCATTTCACGTATTAAAATCAGGTTTTGCCTACTTATACTACATTTGAGTCTGAACCTAAAGTCTTTGTGGTCTGCATTGAATTTCTTCAGCATGTGAAAAAGTGTAATGTCTCCCGGGAACCTAATTGTCACAGGGTGTCCCCGGGTGATTTCCCTTTGCAAAAAATATCTAAGATGTGGCCTCATCTCCCTCTCTATGTCGAAGATGTCATCTTCCAACTCATCGATTCGCTCGTCAAGTCTTTCAATTTTAGTCATACATCTTTGCACTAAATGCAATGCAACATCCAATTTAGCTTGTTGTCTACCCACCCGTCCTTGATTCTCTTGGTTCGGGTTAGCATCAACTAAATTTTGTCTCTGTTGTAGCTTTTCTTGCGCTAGCTGCACAACGGCAATTTTCCTACCTAACTTTTCTCTTAATCGAAACAAAAAATTCTCCATCGAAGCCACTCTTGACTAGCAAAAAGTTAGTTTCTCCCCGTATATGCGGAGGTCAGTCCACCTGGTACGTGTCATTTCTATTTTCCTAAAATGGGAAAAGAAGCAGTTTGTTTATTATTAGACAAACTACCTCCTAAGCATAGACTTCACATACAACTGAAATAGATATTTGGTTCAGCTTCCATGGACTTCACATACAACTGAATTAAATATTTGAGCACATACATAGACAAACTGTAGAGCGACAAATATTCCTAGCAAACTGTAGAGTGGCAGCACACAACTGAGACTACCTAACTACCAACTCCCTAGGATCAGCCTTAAAAGCCAATAGAAAAGTGCAATAAACTCAGAGAACCTCAAGGGATAATCGTTCACACAATCATTTGGAAATGAGAATGCAATAATACCTACTCATATACCTCGGGTTACTACCAACGACTCTAAACATACCCCACATGATTTCCTTCATTGAATTAAAACATAAAAGACCAAAACTCATGTCAAACCACAAACCTAATCAAACCCCTCTTTGTCCCCATGTAAGGCTAAACTAGAGGCCAAAAACAACCCCTCTTTCATCCCCCAACATTAACCAACCATTGTCCCCCTTGTGTCTCCCATCTAGGCTGAATAAACAACAATAAAAGGACAAAAGACTTTTGTGAGTTTATTGACACTCCACCCACCAAATCAGTCCCCTCATACCTTCCATGAATGACCCAATATAAGGCCAATAAAACCAACCATCACCCATCCCCTTTGTCCCCCATTATTTCCCAAGAATCATCACTTATTTCCTGGTGATTTTCTTCACTAAATGACGAGCCACCAGCCATGAAAATCAATGACCAAATCTCTAATTTCATTTCATTAAGAAAACATAAACAAATGGATATTATTCTTGTGATTTGTGAGTGGATGTTGCTGGGAAGTTTTCCCCCCTATGTGTGTGTATTTGTTTCGGCCTTAGGCCATTTTGGAGACTCATATATTGTAATTCCATTTTCCATTCAGTAATACACTTTTGTGTTTGCTTTTTAAATTCCCAAATTTATATCTTAGGAGTGATTATCTCAAGTGTGAGTTTTAGGTTCTAGATATTTAATTAAGTGTGTTATATCTGAATTAAGTTCTAGACTTAACCCCAAGTTAAAATAAGAGTCTGTAATATCTCTTAAACACCAACTTGGTTTATTCCTTCATTTTACCTCTGCCCATTTCATTTCTCCATTTCTTCTTCTTAAACTTATTCTATTTTTTCATCCAAAAAAATACCAAAAAGAACTCCTTCTGCATATCACCATTTCACCCATGCCTCTTCCCACATATCTCCTACCATTTCCTTCACATTCTCAAGCCAAGAGAACACCCATGCCTCCCCTTTCCATCCCTCACCAACTCGGCCTATACCACTGCCCATTCATTTTCTTTACCAATTCCCCATCAACTTTCCAACTTGATAAGACCCCCGATTCACCCCTAACATTTGGTATCAAAGCTTGTTGTTGGACATCTCTTTGAGAACCACAAACACTTTCCTCTCCCTCTCTCTTCTTTTGTTTTTCTTCGGCCATGGTAACAAAAAAAACAGCCTTGTGATTTTGGTTAAACCAGCTTTCGTTGCCATCCTTTTGGTCATTTCGGCCAAAAGCAACCACCACAGTACCTTGGTCATTTCGACCAGCCCTCCTCCAAAACCTACCCTCACTACTCTCCCTTCAAACCACACCAAAAACTAGCCCCAAAACAACCCTTCATCACTCCTAACAGCCCTGCCCCAAAGCCAAAGCCAAAAACCAAATAGCCCTTACTTTCATCTCGGCAAAACCAACCATTTCTCTTACCCTTGTTCTCTTAAAACCATTTCAAGCTATTCACAAAACATGTCTCAAGTTGATTTAGCTACTGCCCAAAAGAAGCTAAAGAAGGAAGTTGAGCTAATGATGAAAAAAATCAAAGAGCTCACTAACTCAGTGGAAATC